TAGAGTGCCATGGCATCACAGCTCATAGCAACCTCCAACTCCTGGGCTCAAGAGATTCTCTTGCCTCAGCCTCCCAAGTAGCTGGGACTATAGGTGCCTGCCGCAACACCGGCTATTTTTTGGTTGCAGCCGTCATTGTTGTTTGGTGGGCCCAGGCTGGATTTGAACCCGCCAGCTCAGGTATATGTGGCTGGTGCCTTAGCCGCTTGAGCCACAGGTGCCGAGTCAGAATTACTAGAATTCTTAAAGGGGAACAAAACTAGAGTTCTTCACACATGTGAAGTTTCAACTTTGGATGTGATCCCTAGTCGCATAAGTGAGACTGACAGAAGGTATACCTTAGAGTAAGTAAAAAATTTAACCAATTCTTATTATAAGTAGAGTTAAGTAGCCTCTATATATGCACAACAGCACAAGTATGAGAAAAAGTACAAGGACTTGGGATCCTCTGATTACCCCCTATGCTCAAGAGGCTTTCTTTCCAATGTCTTTTCCCATATGGACTCTGCTGGGGTCTTTTACCTGTATTTACCAAAACATTCACATTTTCATTCTTTAGAACATCATACCCAAAGTCCTTTTAGAGAGTACTGACTGAAGGATTTGAAAGAGTAAAAACGTAGAAAATGCAAGTTCTTGAGGAATTCAAGATAAAGGATCTGAAATATGGAAAGAAGGATCTGAGATTTTAGAGAATAAGAGGTGATAAAATTCAAAACACAGGTAGGAAAGAAGCCTTGATGGAATTTGCTGGCCACTTTTATCTTTATGTTTGCTAATATAGCATGACAGCATCTTAAATTTTTAGTTTATTGCACAAGCAGATACTAAACCAACACTAACATGGTGTAATCTGTTTTCCAATAAGAAAGTATTCAAAAATGTCCATGTATTGTATTTAAAAATCTCTATGCCTCTGTGAGAGAAACCATACTGGTAAACATTATATATCCTTTTTATTATAGAAGGCAAAAACCTAGACAAGACCTCACTAGATAAATCACCAAACCTTTTGCAAATGGCTACTCTTACCTTGTTGAAGTATTTCCATCCCTTCTGCAGGTGAGCAGAGATCTCCAGATGCCATTTGATTTGCTTGGGATTCTTATCTATGCAATCAAGTGAAAAGAAAACAAAACAAAAAAATGAATAAACAGCTGGTTGCTCCAGGTGAAACTACCTTAGGAAGGAACTTTAGGGATGCCTTTTATAGCAGGCACAACTATGTCACATATCTAAGGGCGGAAGCTCTTATACAGGGTATCCCAAAGGTTGCCCTACATGCATACATAGAGAAAAGGGTAAATTGTAGCTAAATGTATTTTCATTTATAAAATACTAAACAAAATTTTACAAAATGTTTCTCTCTGTGTTGATATATATTAAAAATATAAGAGTTTGTACAGGTTTTATCAATAGACTTACAAGTGCCAAAACATTTTGTATTCTAAGCACATAAATGTGTCCATTTGTTCCAGGCTGTCCAAAAGGAGTCTCCTACAAAGGAAAAAAACTCCAATTCACTAGAGGATAAACAAGAGGATGCTCACCACCACCATTATGTCAAAGTTAAAACTGAGCTGCTACTTGGCCAGTTATAAGTGAACTGCAGAAAGGGAGAAAGGAAAAAAAATCAAAGTCTGCTTTCTTTCCCCCAGTCAAATAACTCAGCTATTAAATTCCATAATAGTTTTTTTGTGCTTCTTTAACTTGTCCTTTCATCTAAGATCTGCTGTTAGTTTTTGATCATTAACTCTAGAATCATACTTCAGGAGTGACAAATTATTCCACTCTTGAAAAAAAACAACAACAACAACTCATTTTCACATAACAGCATTAACAAAGAGCACCTGGAGGAAGGAGCATAACAAGAAGACTGATAGTGAGGTCAGGCCAACAGAGTACTGTAATGCAAAGATATAGTTAATGTGGCTGCAGCTGGGGATGTTGAGCTTGTGGGTGTTTTGCCAGCACATGGAGTACACTGAAAAGAATGACATCAACAACAAGGGGAAGTTTAGACGGACAAAGTTTGGACACAGGAGACAAATTTTTCCCCAGACATTATTTTCTGTGTTTGTACTCCAACCCCTCCTCTTGTAGGGGTATCAAACTCCAAAGCCCAGCACAGCCTCCCCCAAAGCAGAACAGACATTGAAGGTTATTAGGATTTAACACTTCATATTCACAGAACATTTGGTTTACTCACTCATTTTATGAGTTACATCAAAGTAACTACTCATTTCTTTTGTAACACGGTTTAGAGGGGGACGCTTCCAAGGAGGCAAAATGGTAGGACTTAATTTGCAGCCCTTGGTTCTGTGTGAATTTAAGGGAAATTTTATTTTTGTGCCCAACTTTTTTTTTCCCACCTGCAAAACTGAGATAACGACTCCTGCCTTGGATGAAACATTAAGAATAACACAATCGACTTGTCAACAAAAGTCACTAAACTCAGCATCTTAACTATTCTGTTTATCGTTGATCTAAGCCTGCAAATTCAGTTTTGCAGGCAAATTTTGCATGAGGCAATCAAGACCAACCTAAATTTCAAGAACTCAGTTGTTCTTCCCTTCCTAGGGAAAACTGCCCACTTGGGGTTCTCCCCCTTTTTAAGGGGCGTCGCTTTTCTTTACCCTTTTTAAAGGTTACAGGGCGTGAACGGCAATCAAGCTCTATTCACCACCCTCTGCACTCGGACGTGTTAAAACGCTGCTACAGGGACGCAAGCATTAAATGTTCTGACTCAGGCGTCTTTTAAATTCTTAGAGCTGTCTTTACACGCTGCACTGAACGTTAAATTGATTTTACAGGTATTTTCACAAGATGTGACCCTTACAGGGCCCGAGATGAATCAAAATGCAGAACGGGCTCTCCGGCGCCTACTTCCATTCTGTCTGGGCGCCCAAGGATTCCCAAGGGCGAGGACCGCCGTGGCGGCCGGAGACCAGGGGCTGGCCACATTGACTCTCCCCGCTCTCCTCCCCACAGCGGCGCCCGCCCAACTTCTGAAGCAAACCTGCACACCCTGGGGCAGCTGAAGCAACCGAGGGACTGCCGAGGAGGCTGAGGGGGTTGGCCGGCAGCGTCTACGCCGGGACCCTGCCCGCACCAGGGCTCCGGAACCTCGCACTCCAGCCTCGCGCAGGGGTTGGGGGAACCGAGGTCGGGGGGCACCGCACAGGAAGGCCCAGGAAAGGAAGAGGCCGCAAGTGCAGGAGAGGCCGCGAGGGAGGAAGGAGTGGGCGGGGCCGCACTCGAGGCGGGAAGGCAGGCCCCGCCCCTTGCCAGACGCGCGCCCCTGGACTCAACCGTCTGCCAACCCCGGCAGTGGAACTCCGCCTAGGGAAGAGAGCTATCTCAGGGGGCCTGCTTTGTCCTTTCTCTTTAGTTCCCACCAGCGAAGGGCAAATGTTGAGAAAGTGGTAATAATTGCTAACATTTATTGTGGGCCCACGCTGAGTCAGGCACTACACCAAGGGTTTTGCTTGCCCTACGTCTTTCAGTTCTTACAGTACTCTGTGAAGAAGTCACTATCATACCCATTTTACAGAGGGGAAAAACTAAGGCACAAAGAAGTTTAAGGTCGCCGCTCTCGGGATGTAATCTTGTCCCGGTGGCGCTCTGAATCTTCCCAGGCCTACCTCCTACTGCCTACACGCCCCCGGCCAGCTCCTGTCCTGGGCATGGCTTGCCAGCCCAGTCCCGTGCTTGGCACTGTTCACAGAACCCCTGTTCAAGAGGTAGGCTTCCTCTTGAGTTTCCTCCCCAGCCTCGTCTACCTCCTCCTTTATCTTTTATTCTTCATTCACTTATGTCCTAATCTTTCCAACTCCCACTCCCCCCATATCCTCTTTTTTGGAAAGTTGACTGGCATCAAGTCAGGAGGTGAATTATTTTTAAAAGCAAGAAAATTTAGGTGTGGTGATGACTGTTAGGAAGCTGACACAGAGGCAGGAGGATCGTTTGAACCCAGGAGTTCTAGGTTGGAGGTTTACAGTGAGCTATGATCCAGCCACTGCACTCCAGCCTGGGTGACAGAGACTCTGTCTCTAAAAAAAATAAAAAATAGGCTTGGCGCCTGTGGCTCAAGTGGCTAAGGCGCCAGCCACATACACCTGAGGTGGCCAGTTCGAATCCCCGGGCATTGTGGCGGGTGCCTGTAGTCCCAGCTACTTGGGAGGCAGAGGCAGGAGAATCGCTTGAGCCCAGGAGTTGGAGGTTGCTGTGAATTGTGATGCGGCAGCACACTACCCAGGGGGACAGCTTGAGGGTCTGTCTCAAAAAAAATAAATTAATAAATAATAAAAAATAAAGAAAATATTTAATGCTAAGTCCACTGCACTAAGGATATATAATCTCTTGTATCAGGGAAGCCAAAAAGCTAGAGTGGTAGGGAAGGAATCTCAGGGATAGATGTGTTGGGAGATGGAGAGTTTCATCTCTTTAGCATCAGCTAGAGACCTCTACTAGCATACTTAAAGGAATGGTGTGGTCCAGTACAGAAATGTCATATCCTTGATCAGCTCATCAGCTGCCCCCTTTCATGTTTAATATTAGAGTGCTGCTGTCATTTTCTAAGGCTTTTAAAAATCATTCATGCTTCCTCAATTCCATAGTGCAGCAACATTAAATATCAGGCATAATGTCCCTAACAAACGGCACTTGGAACAAAATAGCAAGCGTGCTTTGGTGACTCAGAGCTGATCGGAAATCTACTGAAATTTTGTCTTCCAGATTTGACAAGTTCTCTAATGTGGTACTATTTGGATTTGGCTAAAGTACTTGGGGAATGAGGAGGTGAAGGGTGCAGAAGGCTGTCTTCAAATAGGAGGATAAGGGGATAGTGATCGGAAGCCTTGAATTAAATGAGACCTTCATGTGCAATTATCTGTTCCGACTCTGTTTCTAATAAGTTGTGTGACCTTGGGCTTCAGGTTCCTTATCTGTCAAAAGGAGGAAATAACATATTTTTAGCTCCTCCAATCTCATTGTGTTGATGTAATGATCAAATGAGATAATGGCTATGAAAGTGCATTGGAAAGACTATAAAAGTGGGGTGTTTTAAAGTGACACTCATTAAACACGTATTAAGTGCCTTCAGAAAGACACAAAGATAAATATGACACAGTTCCTGCCTTGAAGTTCATAATCTAGTTTAGAAGATAAGACATATGCACATGGAAAGCAAGTAATACAAGGCAGCAAATAAGTGTCAAAAGAGCAGTTTAGATTATTAATATTAGAGAAACTTGAAGAAGGTACAGAATTTCTGCAAAAATAAATGGGGAAGACTATGAAATAAATCTTATTTTCATTGAGTCTGAAAGGATAGAGAAAATGTGGATCATTTAGAATGGAGGAAACAACCCAGCAAATGGAAGCAGAGACAGAGAGTATAAGCTGCATGCTAGGTCCAAGAGACAGGAACAGCTGAAGTGAAGGATGTTATAGGCCAGCTCTACATGAGACTAGAAAGTTGAGCCTACAGACCATTGTGGCAGTTAAAAATACTGCAAAGTACTGAGAAAAGATTCACAATCAGACACCATCTGGTGTCCTTGAGCAAGAAAGAATTGCAAGAGAGCTCCTAAAATTCATTCATAGTCTCTCTCTTCTCTCTTTCCTCTCCCTCTCTTCCTCTTTTTTTCCAGATTTTTTTTTTTAAATAGCTTCATCAAGGTATTTTGGTATATAATATTTAAGGTATAAAATTTAGTAAATTTTGATACTACTATACAGCCATGAAACCATCACCAAAATCAAGGTATTGAACGTATGTATCACCATATAAAAGTTTATTTGACTGGGCATGGTGGCTCACACCTATAATCCTAGAACTCTGGGAGGACAAGGCGGTGCATTACCTGAGTTCACAGGTTCAAGACCAGCCTGAGCAAAAGCAAGACCCCATGTCTAAAAAAAA